TTAGTTCACCAGAGAAAGCATACTGGAGTAAGGCCGTTTTCCTGCAACGAATGTGACAAGACGTTCACAACTAAGCAAAATATGAAACGTCACCTGTTGAGCCACACAGGGGAGAAACCTTTTGCATGTGATCTGTGTGAGAAAAGTTTCACAGAGAAGAAAAGCTTGATTATTCACAAGAGGACTCACACGGGAGAGAAACCCTATGTGTAAGTTGTGTTTAGATATATATTCATGTTTTATATCGGTCCTTAAGATAGTTGAATACTTGCTATTTTATAGACACTAAAATGTTTGTATGTCAGATACTTGAAATGCACCACCGAAGAATAATAAAGATATGTATACCAATATCAACTATAAGTTGGTTGTGGGTGGGAAGATTCTGCGTCACAATATTACAGCTTGAGATTAGTTGTTTTGCTAATATGAACACATGTCATGGCATCATATCACTTTCCACAACTATTGTGGCTTGCTAAAATTCTAAGCACAGATGGAAGCCATGTAACAACTTGGAGCTAATTGTTCTTTCTTTTTGTTTTTAATGCTTTTGATGAAGTGCACACACTGTTGATCAGTTTAATCTTTATTAATGGAATTGCTTGTCATCTTTTGTGGGTTTTTAAAATAAAAATTTCAACATTAACCTTTAAGGAGCCATGTCCCACTGCAAATATTTTCTCACTTTACCAATTTACTGCCAAATTGATTATTTGTCAATATGTCTGACAGTCACATTGTAGAAAGTTGATATGTGGTTTGGACTAATATTTAAATAGGGTATCACACTGCAGACACACATGATGTCTTATGAGTTCTGTTTAAGTTTTTGTCAAATTCTGTAGCCAAAGTTTTACATGGAGTATCACCCTGCAGACATATACACTGTTACATTATATTTTATGAGTTCTGTTTTATTCTCTGCCAGGTGTAAGATTTGTAGCCGAGGCTTCACACAGAGTATTACACTGCAGACACACATGATGATACACACAGGCGATAAGAAACACTTGTGTGAGCTGTGTGGAAAGTCCTTCAGACAACGTGCAAATCTCCTCTCGCACAAAAAACGTCACCTGGAACAGAAAGCTTACAACTGTCCAGACTGTAGCTTCTCGTTCTTCACTAAAGGTAAAAAATAACTCTGCACGACTGTTGTCTTGTGTTATTTTCAAAGTGAAATTCACCTGAATGAGTAAAATTTGTATTAGAAATACACTTGTTATCAAAGGCATTAATAGTCATATACTTTATTTGAATATCTCACATAAAGAAAGATACAAAATACAATATGCACTAAAAATGAATTATGCATTTACTAAATTTTTCGATAAATTGAAATTAAATGTACACACAAACTTGTACTGTTTTCAGTTTAAAAATGGTTCTTTCTAGGTGATACTTAAGAACATAGTATTATGCTACATGTTTGCTGATCTTATTTTCATTTAGGTTGTCACTTTTGATTCATAAATAATTATCATTTTTCTGTTCTAAACATCAAAATTCTTCCTTAATAGAAAAATGAGTGAGATAGCAAAAAATACATTTTTGATTATCTTCTCATTTGTAGGTGAACTAGATCGCCACATCCTGCGACATACGGGAGAAAAGCCATTCCAATGCGACATATGTCCGAAACGCTTCACTCGACAACAATACCTCAATGAGCACCTTAACATTCACATCGGCAACAAGCCTTACAGTTGTAACAAGTGTGAGGAGAAATTCCACGACCAGTCCACCTACCATCGCCACCTGAAGAAGCACAAGCCGAAAAAGGAAGAGGTAGTTAAAGACGAGGTCGAAACCTTGACGACTGCTAATAACAACACAACAACAACTTATGTGATGGAGACAAACAGTTTACTTGGTCCGGACACACTAGAACAGTTACAGGCTGTCATTAATAACGAAGTTGAGAAGATACAAAATCAATCCGGCTCCAGCCAACAGTATCAGACAGTCATCCTGAAAGGCAGTAGTGCCCAGCCAGTGGAGTCGCTGGGCGAGGTGATAAAGGGCACAGGTGACATCAAGGATAGTGCTAATGATCAGGTGTATCAGATCACCATGGTGGACCAATCACAGGAGGTGGTTGCCACTGTAGACTTCTCGGCGTTTAATCTTCTAGCTAATGCCACTGCTAAACAGTACGCTATATCATCTGAGTAGTGTAGAGGGAGACATGTTGAACTTCTCGGCAGACTTCTGACCAACACCAACGTTTTAAGTAGGCTATATCATCTAACCAGTGGTTGGGTAGAACTGGCAAAATTCAGAGCACTCAGACATCTGACCAGCTCAAGCTCTTAAAGTAGGCTAAGTCATCGAGTCATGTTGAACTTCTCGGCATTCAATTTTCAAACTAATGTGAACACCAATATATATATTCATTGTTTGGGCTAACACATTACTGCTAAAAAGTGTTCTACTAAAACTTTCAAATAACATTAAAAGTCAAGATTACTGCTGCTGTTCATATTTCTAGTAGGTACATTAAAGTTT